ACAGAAGAAAGTTGGATCCAGCAGTTATAATAGGGGATGGGAGTTAACAGTTTTTTTCCCTATTTAATTTCTGTGATTTGCGGTCTTGAACCTGGAGTCCGACTAAGTTATCTAGTTCATTTCCCTGTAAACCATCAAAAATACATTTTCCATTGTTTTCTCCAGTCTAGTTTTGAGTGTCCAAAAGGGCTTCTAACACCTCCTCTGGGAGATTGCTGAACAGCTTAATAGATCTTACTGCCAGGAAGTTTCCTATTTATATGATTTCATCAGTCTGCTTCTAAGACCACAGCCTTGCACCACCCTAAGTTATTCTTTTTCTTCCTTGACATTTATAGGTTTTAAATATTAGTAGACTTTTCTTCCTTCTAACCCAATCTCCCTATATTCAGCTCTTTCATCTTTCTTCGTAAGTCACTCTCCTCAGCTCCCCTGATCAGTTTTGCAGCCTTCTCTCAAAGGGCTGTTATGACAAAGCCAACAAGACCAGCTTCCCTACAAGAGATAAACTATCAAGTTTAAGGCTTATAAACTGAGGAGCTGTTAGCCTGGGATTCTGACAAAGGATCTAAAATTACTCAAAGTCACGTCAAGAAGGAACCCGATGCATACTGGGAATCTTGTTTTGAAAAATGAACTTTTGTTTGCATAACTTCAAGGTTGGGTTGTTTTTAAATTCAGAGAAATTGAGCGTCAGTGGGGCCATTAGAAGTCTCCAGAAAAGAATGCCATATTAGCCAGAGTAGTTTTCCATTAACTACAGTTAGTGAAATCCAAAGAACTCAAGGGGACAGAAGAGCTTTCTTTTGTTGATTCAGCACATCACTGTCCTTAAATTTCATTTTATTCCAGTCTAACTTAGAGATCAAATGAGTATTTAACCTGTCAGAGTTTCACACCAGGATTTTTCTCAAGGTTAACTACACACCCTCATTGTCTCTGGATTCTGGTCTCTGCACTGGTTTTTACCATCAGGACAGACTAGGAAACTTCTTCCAACAACTGGACCTTGCTTCCAATCTACCCTTCCAGAAGGACCTATCTGATAAACGAATCACAGACCTGGAGTAAACAGATAGCAGCTACCACTAACAGTGAGAGTTTTACTTTCTTTCCATGTTCGCCCTTTGTCAGAGACCCAGAATAACAGCTCCTGTCCATCTTCTCGTCTATCTCAGCGTTTGGTTGGGTAAATTGTCTTAACTCACTCACAAAGCTGATAGTTTTGACAACGTCTTGGTTGTAACTCAGTATTTCCAGCATTTAACAAAAGCTGGGTTTGTCAACTACCATTGTCCTCTATGTTGAAATTAACAGAGAGAAAGTTTACCACACAATTACTGAGTTAAGCCTTAGGCCACAAAAAATCATTTCAGGCTTAGCTTTAGCTGTGGGTGGCAATAACATTTGATTTACCTATAAGCGACAAAAGGGACTAAAGACGTCAGAAAATGACTACTAAATATAAGTCCAACTAGATTTTGGTATCCATATAGTATGCTCATGAGAAATGAGTAAACTCAGAACTACCTGCATGATGAAATGCCACTCCCCATGGTAAAGTACGCTGGAGCACAGAGTCCAGACCTGACGATGAGCGCCTTAGCTGGTCCATCACCTCCTCTATTCCTTCCTTGTCCAAGGCAACTGGTGAAAGTGCTGAGGTTTTGGTAAACTCTTTAGTCAGGAGAGAGAAAGAATATTTTTTAAAGCTCTCAGAAGGCTTACTCTGCTATAAAGACATAGTGCAGCTCATAGTCTCCTATTAAGCTACTTTCTCATCCCCTCTTACTCTCAGCCTGCTGCAGAGACCAGTGTTGCAGATTGTAGAACTCTCTGGCTATGATGTCTGCCAGCTTTTCACACCAGTTCTTGGATGGACAGAAGAGTAGGACTGAATGGCCATCGTGAATGGTCTCGTAACACAGGCTCACCACGTGGTCTTCATCTCCCTGAATTAAGACAGACAATTCTTTCAACAAGTTCTTGTATCATACAGGGTTTGTAAATGCTGCCATTTTCACCTCTATCCCACTTCAAATCCCCTATCCCAATTCAGAGGGAGAAACAAAGGTAAGAAAGGGAGCAGAGTTTTCTTGACCTTCGAAAGTCTAGGGATTAGTATGGGGTTGATGTGTACATGTCTTGGGCCCAACAACAGATGAATCTGAAGATGTGTCAAATTATCCCTAGCTTACTCCCATTGTTACAATCACAATTAAAACCTTTTTAACCATTTATTAACACAAAAAGAACAGTTAAAGCATTTGAAACTTCAGAAGTTAAGTAAAAACTTTAACAATTCCCTTATTCCCTTTAGTTGCATAGAGTTTCTTATACGGAAAACTCCCTTGTCTGACAGTTTCTTTAGGTTGTATTAAAGATGAAGGGCGAGTGGTTATTAAAGTTCAACTGTCTTTTTAAGACAAAGACAAACACTCAAGAGAAGGAAAAGAATAGGAAAGTATAACTTCTTTCTAACTCTGTGTGTGTGTGTGTATATATGTGTGTGCGTGCGCTTAAAACTTGATTTCTTAGAAATTTTAGGCAAAGCACATTATTTTAATAGCCGCACAGACACAAACTCTTACTAGTCAGACTAAAACCTTTGTCAATAGCTTGCTTGTTTGATTACAGGTTACTAGCATGTTTCTGACATGGATTTGTTCTAGATTGTTAAACCAGATTATTTTTAAGCAGGCAGCCAAAGGAGGAATAAAGGAGAAAGTAGAAATCAGGTAGGGAAGGAAAAACAATATTACACTACGAAGAAAGCAGTAGCAGAAACTTCAAGTGCACAAGTCTTGTTCAGAATTCTGCCAAACCCAGCAGAGGTGATGATGTCATCTGGCTCCCTTTTCTTGCCCAGTTTAGTTAGGACATCTTCCAGGTTCATGACAAAGGCCCAAGACCATGATGGTAGATCCCAGGGACCCAGTGAGCTGTGGGCACCTTGAAACTCCTTCCCTCAAGCTGTTGAGTCCACAAATTTGGCTTTCCAGCCCACTTAGCTTAAGCATATTGCCAAGTAACCTCTAGAAAAAGAAGCAGCAACCTCACCCCATCAAAATTATTCAATTAAAACACAATTAGTTATTCCAATTATAAACATTTATTTTGGTTTCTGGACTCCCTCCACTTGTTATGCCAAATTATGATCTCTAATCACAGTTTTTTGTTTAAACATCCAATTTTTGCCACTCTCTCAAATTTTTGCTTATTTTATATAACAGGCTGAGCTGTTAGAATCACAGAAATGTAGGAGTGGACAGGACCTTGATAGGTCATCTATGTAATTGGTTCCAGTGCTTAATTTACAGTAAGAGTTTTTCCTAATGTCTAACCTAGATCTCCTTTGCCACAATTTAAGCCCATTGCTTCTTGTCCTGTCCTCAGTGGATCAGGAAAACAATTTATCACCCTCCTCTTTATAACAACCTTTTGCATACTTAAAGACTATCATGTTCCTTCCTCTACCCCCTCAATCTTCTCTTCTCCTGACTAAACAAACCCAGTGTTTTCAATCTTTCCTTGTAGGTCATGTTTGCTAGACCTTTAACCATTTTTGTTGCTCTCCTCTGGACTTTCTCCAATTTGTCCACATTTTTCCCAGAACTGGCCACAGAACTCCAGTTGAGGACTTATCAGTGCTGAGTAGAGTGGAAGAATTACTTCTCATGTCTTGCTTGCAACACTCCTAATACATCTCCGAATGATGTTCCACTTTTTGCGACTGTATTACACTGACAATTCATATTTAGTTTGTGATCCACTATAACCCCCAGATCCTTTTCTGCATACTCCTTCCTAGACAGTTATTTCCCATTTTGTATAAGGAAGGAATAATCGATTGCACAAAGTTTAGTACTCTACATTTGTCCTTACAGAATTTCATCCTATTTATTTCAGACCAGTTCTCAAATTTGCCAAGATTTTGAATTCTAATCCTGTCCTCCAAAGAGATTGCAACCTCCCCCATCTTGGAATCACCCTCAAACTTTATAAGTGTATTCTCTATGCCATTATCCAAATCATTTACGAAGATACTGAATAGAACTGGACCCAGGACAGATCCCTGCGGAACCCCACTTGATGTGTCCTTCCAACTTCTCTGTGAACATTGATAACTACCCTGTGTATGGTTTTCCAATCAGATGTGCACCCACCTTAAAGTAGGTTCATCTAGCAAATACTTCCTATTTGCATAGGAGATGATCATGTGAGACAGCTGTCACATTCCAGGGTGCAATCCAGACCAGTGAGGGGTTGTGTCACCGCTTGCCTGCAACCTTGGGCACCTCACAATGCTTTGCTGTTGTAGCTCCCAACCTGGGCTGCTCACAGTCTACCAGCATGCAGGTCACACCCTGAGTGTTTGTGTATAGCTACAGCCCTGATCCAGAAACTCTGCCCCAGCAACAGACCAGCCACACGCTGGCTTCCAGCAGCCTTGGTTACTACTTGAAGGGTGACCCCCACACACTCCCAGTCCCAAATTTTCCCCAAAAACATGTGTTCTGCAGTGTCCAGCCCTCTCCTGGGTAGTTCAGATATTTGAGGTCTGTTGCCCTGTAAGGGATCAATATTCAACTGTTTACTACTTTAAATGGAGTTACCAAACATTTCAATTTAAACACAACAAGGGACAGTTTATTAGTTAAATAAACATGTTTATTTAACTAAAGAGATTTTAGGTGAGCATATGTATAAGGTATTAAAGTCAGAAATGGTTACAAGACAAAAAACAAAACAAAACACTTTCTGGTATCTAAAATGCAGATTAGTGGTCTACTGCCATTTCTCCCTCATGCTGTCTCAAGGACCCGGTTTACTACTTATATGTAAATTGAGGTAAACATACATTCCTGTAAAAAGAAAAGGAGTACTTGTGGCACCTTAGAGACTAACCAATTTATTTGAGCATGAGCTTTCGTGAGCTACAGCTCACTTCATCGGATGCTCACGAAAGCTCATGCTCAAATAAATTGGTTAGTCTCTAAGGTGCCACAAGTACTCCTTTTCTTTTTGTGAATACAGACTAACACGGCTGTTACTCTGAAACCATACATTCCTGTGTTTAGGATAGACCTGTTTAAGAACTTTTGTCTAGGCAGAGCTATGTGATTTTGAACACGTGCTTACATCATCTTACAAGGGAAATTCATAACTTTACATATGATGTTGCTTCATACATTTCACCATATTATTTACCAGCAAGCTATTAGTTTTCAAATGATACTTCACAAGGCATATTTTGTACAAAGATTATTACAGTGGTGTATAGAGTGCGAATACAGGGCCGCTTTCAGTCAGAACAGTATCAAAAGCTTTACTAAAGTCAGGAGATACCACATCTTCTCCTCCCCCCCCCATCAACAAGTATATTGGCCTATCAAAGAAGTATATTAGGTAGGTTTGACATGGATTTGTCAAGAACAAACTATATTAACTGTTATTTATCTTCTAAGGTGCTTACAATTGATTGATAGCTCCATTATCTTTCCAGGTACCAATGTTCAGCTGACTGCTCTATAATTCCCTGGGCTGTCCTTATTCCCTTTTTCATAGATGGGAAATAAAGTACCTCTTTTCCAGTCCTCTGGCATCTTTCCTGTCCTCCACGAGTTCTCAAAGTTAATCACTAATGGCTCAGAGATCTCTTCGGCCAGTTCCTTAAATATTTTAAGACAGTGGTTTTCGACCTTTTTTCATTTGCGGACCCCTAAAAAAAAATTTCAAATGGAGATGCAGACCCCTTTGGAAATCTTAATAGTCTGCAGATCCAAGGGTCTGCAGACAACAGGTTGAAAACCACTGCTCTAGGACTTCTTTCGTCAGGCCCTGCCAACCTGAAGACATCTAAGGGTATGTGTACACTGCAAGATAAGCCTACGATTAGTGGGACTTGAGTCACCTGACCCAGGTTAGAAAATCCTGGGCTTGAGTGTCTACACTGATTCTTAACCCTCTGTTAAGACTTTCCTAACCTGGGCTTTAACCTGGGGTGTTGATGTCCACACTGCAGCACGTAGACCCGAATCAAAGCAATCCCAGAGTCCCTAGCACCCTCTCAAAATGTGACCACTCTAGCCTTTTGACCATAATGCACTGTGGGAAAACTTTACTGCACCCCCTGCCTGCCATTTTGGCCTGTGTGCTCCCAGCTATCGGAGCCAGCAACAGAGAGGAGCAGCCTTTTGAAAAACTTCTCTTGCTTACGCTTTCATTCCTGTGTCAGGAAACAGTTTCTGGGATGTGCCAATGGGCATTTCGGCAGCTTTTTCTGACCCACCAAAGGCATCTGACAGATTTCATGATGGAGGAGACAAGGCAGACTTGCACTGGCTGATGCTGCTAAGTAAAATCAGCATATTTTACTTAGCAGTAAATCAGCTGATGCTATGTAGACTGGCACTTCTGACGCAGGTCCACAAGCACAGACTGGTGGGCTCACATTGTAACGCAGACCTAGGATGACCAGCAGTGGATCCAGAACTCTTGCATGAAGAAAGCTACATTTCTGCAGCTTTGTGAGCAGCTTGCCCCAACCCTCCAGCATAAGGACACACTCACCCTTGCCAGTCCAGAAGCAGGTTGTTAAAGCAATCTGGAAGCTGCCTACCCCAGACTACTACAAGTCCATTGCCAACCGGTTTGGAGTTGGAAAGGCGACTGTGGGTAAAGTGGTGGTGGAGGTTTCTGAGGCAGTAAGGTGTGTGGTTTACCCGAAGGTGGCAATCATTAAAGATATTCCTGAAGGACCTGCTGGCTTTGAGAGAATGGGGTTTCCTAACTGCACAGGGGCCACTGATGGGACTCATGTGCCCATAGTTTGCCCTCCTCAAGGAGTACATAAACTGCAAAGGGTACTACTTGATTGTTATGCAGGCCCTCATAGACCACAGAGGCCAATTTATGAAGGTCAACATGGACTGCATTCCCGAAGTTCACGTCAGGGTTCTTCACCAATTGGAAGTCTACATTCATGGACAGACTGGGACACTGTTCCCACCAAACAACATTGTCATAAACGCTATCCCCACTGTTGTTCTGGGGGACCCCACATATCCCCTTTTGCCTTGTCTTCTGAAGCAATACCCTGATTTCAGAGGCCCGGGCAAAAGAAGGTTTAATTACACTCTCAGCAGGTATAGATTCTATGGCTGTTGAATGTGCTTTGGCGAATTAAAATCGCACTGGAGGTGTCAGCAGACCCATTTGGATGCTAACTCATCAATGTCTGCATTACTGTGGCTTGCTGTATTCTTTACAATCTTTGTGAAGCCAAATGTGAGCCATTTTCCCCTAAATGGGCCTATAACAACAAAGAGCAACTGAATCGGTTCACTCAGCCAGCATCTACTACAACTGGAGTTGGCTGCACCTGGGCAATAGAAGTCAGGGATGCTTTGTGTTCTCACATTATCAACTTGCATGGCCCTATGGAAGAGGGGGAATAGTACCTGTAATAATGTGCTTGTGGAGGGAAAGGAGCTGGTTAATTTGGGGGCGTGGGGGGGCTCAGTGCTTAGGAGGGGTGTGGGCTTGATTGCCATACTTATGAATGACATGACGAACAATGAATTGAGGAATGAATCACAATATGGGTACATATAAGGAAGTTATTGAAATGTGAATTGCTGTACCTAACTGCATAGAGGAACAATGTTTGCTTAGTCATGTATAATTGTTCCTGATCATATTTTTAGCTTTATTATTTCAAATCGTGATTGTATGCTGGGCTACATTGATAACAATAAACTTTCTTGATGACACAATAGGCTTTATTTGTAAACATGTATTAAAACAGTACAACAGTCACCCATTGCTAAACAAGAAATAGAGGAACATTTCCAAAACAAAACAAAGTGCAGTAAACAGTGCAAACACAACTCAAACCTTCTACTACTGCATGTCCACTGGCTCCACGTTCTTCTTTCCCCCTTTTCCATGCACTTAGCACTGGGGGGGGGCGGGAGTGAGTGCAGGTATCCACAGGAGGGGGAATCAAGGAAAGAAGCATGGAGTTTAGTTGCCCTGTCCAGCCGCTCACGGGGGCCTGAATGCAAGGGCCGCCAAGGCATGGAATTATCCGGGCTACTTCTGGACTGAGGGAACGTTGCACAGGCACCAGGGAGACAGGAGGAGCTGGTGCTCTTCCAGCCATGATGGAGATGAGTCGCTCAAACAATTCTCTCTGTTGAGCTCTGTCCTCCCTTAGCCACCATTCCTGTTCCAGCAACTGAGTTGCACGTGCCTGCTCCCTTGCTGAAACCCTGACTTCCAGCTGCACGGTGAGCCTCAACCTCACCTCCTGCCTCTTTGGCATGCCATTCTCCAGTCTTATGTCCTTCTGCTTCTGGTACTGGACCTGCTTGTCAGTCCTCTCAAGAACTTTAACCATAACTTGTTTATGAAACACTTCTTCTTGGAATGATCCACAAAGGTATGTTGGGCCAGCATTGAGTACTGGATGTACGGCAGCCAATGAAGGTCGAGGGGCCAGAAATAGAACCAGAAACAGAGGGTTATTGTCTAAAATAGTTAAGTGAAGGAGCACAGAATTATTTCTTGGGGAATTTCAAGGACAGCAAGTGTTACATATCAAAACTAAACCAAAATATATTGTAAAAGGGATGCTTCAGTCCACAGAATCTCCCTGGACACCACCTCGTTAATCGCAATTACAGAAGTGCACAGATAATGATATGTTTAAAATTACAAGCTGTTTCTGTTTTATAAAAATTGGATAACTACTTGGGTGGGGAAGGTGGGTGGTAAGTGCCCTTGCTACAAAAGGCTTTTTCTATCATTTCAGACCTTTCACATTTTGGGGGACATAACTGTTCTTGTAGTGCCCTGTTGGCAAGCTACCAGTGTAAACTTGCAGTGTATGCAGCTGAAATATTCAAACATATAGTAACTGAAGAGCACATCTGTGAGTGGAGTGGGCTAGTCACCTACCAAGATGGCCCTGGGAAATATGCCCTTCCCCACAATGTGGACACTATCAGTATCCATGAGGTAATTAACAGGGTGCTGTAATAGCTTACACATAACTTACTCTATCATGGCTCATTCAAACACACAAAACTCCATAGCCTTCCTCCTCCCTTACCACGGCACATTTCTGGATAAAAAATTTTGATGCCCCAATCATACATGGGAGGAATAATTTTGTCACGCGCAGACTGCATGGACTACCTCTAACTGAAATGGACTAGATTTGGAAACAGAACACATTTTCCCAAACACACACACACACACACACACTCTCTAAGTTCACTGTTTCCAGACAGCTCCATAGATGCTGAGTGATTATAGAGCGGCAAACTTAAGCAATTATTACTTTAAGAAAAACCATGAATGACCCTAGCAATCAGTTAAAATACTCTTTAAACCTGTTCTTTACTGTTGCACTCCACATGCTGGGGGGTTGGAAGGGCACCAAACCGATGGGATACAATCCGCCATTGGTGGATACATGCTGGTAGCTAAGGCTTCTCATAATTTTTGCATTGGTTCTTAGAGCAGAAGTCCCTCCCATTATTGTAGTAAGCTTTTAATTCGAATCAGAAACTTACCTGGCTCAAGGGCAGCTTCTGTCTCCTCTGGGTTTACTGTAGACCCAGAATTGACTGCTGATCCTGTTCCAAAGCCTGTTCTGACTGGTTTCAGAAACAGAGTCACTTCATGGTCCTCACTCAGAGCCTGCTCCTGGCTCCCATCAGTCCCCATGCTGGATTTAGGGGACAGCAGGGCGCCATCCAGGCTGACCAGGTCATCATGCACCACGATTGACTCTATGCTAGGCACAGTGCCAAGCACCAGTCTAACTCCTCATAAAAACAGGCATGAGCCTTACGAGTTGCACAAGGTATGGTTCTGATCCCTGGTCTTCCAGCACTTGCTCCTGAGACACTTAATTCACTCCCTGCACTGGTCACCAGTCTGGAAAATTTGCAAAGCTGCCAGCTTTTTAGCTGTCTGCTGGTACGTGTGATCACTGCTGGTACTTTTGCTTAAGTGAATAGTTTTACTGGCCTCACATCAGAGATTCACTGAAAACTGGCTATAATCCCATTACCATGAAGCAGTGTGCTTTATAAAAGGCTTGTTCTGCTTGATCTCCATTGCAAACACAGAAGGCTCTCCGAAGATGTGTTTGCAGCTCAGTGATCAGAAGACAATGGAAGAATTAATGCGGACTTACTGAGTTGCTGCTGTATGCCAAGGAAGGATGGCTTCCATTTTCAATTGAGTCGATTGGAGATTGTCTGGATAGAGAGAACAAAGGAAGTTGGCCCATGGGATTGTGGGATACTGTTGGTGGACTCCCAGGAGATGAGTCAATCAGGGCTGCGTCTACATTGCAAAGGAATAGGGCTCAACCCTAGGTCACTGCTTGACCTGGGCTTGAACCCTCCAGGGTGCTAGGACTCTAAGTCTGAGCCCAAGTCTGAGAGACATGTGTGTAGATGGTAAGGGGTTTGGGCTCCAGTCTAAGCCTGAGCCCAGGCTTACACTGCAATGTACACATACCCTAACTTGTCTAGATAATTCTTAACTTGTTCTTTCACTCTTTTAGCCTCAGATCCTACTCTATTTAACACAGTGAGGTTCACAGTGTTAATCATCCAATCACTGAACCCTTTTAGCCAGGAGGCGGGGAGGCATTTGAACAATTCAGCCATTGCTGCATTTTCTGTTATTGTCTTTCCCTCCTCACTGAAGTAAATGGGCCTACCCTGTTCTTGACCTCCCTCTTGCTTCTCATATATTTGTAAAATGGTGTCTCAGTACCTTTATGTCCCTAACTACTTTAATTTCATTGTGCGCTTTGACCTAATTTTGTCTGTACATGCTTGTGTTGTTTTTTATACTCATCCTTCATCATTTGACCTAGTATCCACTTTTTGCATAACTCTTTTTTGAGTTTCAGGTCATTGAAGATCTCCTGGTTAAGTCAGGGTAATCGCTTACCACACTTCCCATCTTTCCTATATATTGGGATAGTTTGCTTTTGTGCCCTTACTAATGTGACTTTAAAAAACTGCTACCTTGCCTGAACATTTTTTTCCTTTAGACTGCTTCCCAAGGGATCTTACGTATCAATTCTGAGTTTGCTAAACTCTGCCTTCTTGAAGTCCACTCTCTTTATTCTGCTGTTTTCTCTTCTACTGTTCCTTCAAATCATGAACCCTATCATTTCATGATCACTTTTACCCAAGCTGCCTTCAACCTTCAAATCATCAACCAATCATCCTCCCTATTTGTCAGAATCAACTTTGGAATTGCTTCTCCCCTAGTTGCTTCCTCCACCTTCTGTAATAAGCTTGTCTCCAATGCATTCCGAAAACTTGTTGGACAATCTGTGCCCTGTTATATTACTTTCCCAGTACATGTCTGAATAGTTGAAGCCCCCATCACCACCAAGTTCTGGGCTTTGGGTGGTTTTGTCAGTAGTTTTTAAAAGGGATTAAAAAGAAAAGGCTCCTTGCTAAGGATTAAGCAGTTTGAATTAACCTAGCTAGGAAATTTTCATGTACATTTTTAACCAGATAACAGTTTCTGGGACCCAGCATTAGAATGCAAGGCTCTTCTGTTGTATTACTCTGAGTTCAGATGCTCAAAACCTGCAGAGATGCAAAGGTATTTTTGCCAAGATATTCAGTTAATTCTCCATCACTGGCAAACATTTTAATAAAGATTGCATTTTTATTTTATTTTATTTTTAAAGATATGCTCTAGCTAAATCATTTTGGGGAAGTTCCATGTCCAGTATTATACAGGAGGTCAGACTAGATGATCATTATGGTCCTTTCTTTCTTTAGAATCTATGAACTTTTATCTCAGATGTGTCCAATTAGCTCCAATCTAGTTCATAAGAGGGGATGGAGTATCTCTCTGAGGCAAAGGGAACTAGGGACAGATAGGCCTGGCTGGGGAAAACCCTATCTTGGGAAGGAGTTTAAGATGGTTTACCAATAAAAATCAAATCACAGGAAAAGCCCTTATTTTGAGTGCACACACTATGTTAGAAACAGGGTAGGAATGTCAGCTACTTGAAAACATTACACATCTACTGATACATTTTAATTAGACAGTAGAAACAATGTCATCCTGGAGCAGCTAGTTCGCAAGAAGCAGTAGTTACCTTCACTTGCAGCATGGGTTGGAATTCCCGCACCAGCTTCATTGAAGAGTCATAAATATTACGGCCAATTTTCACCCACTCCATGAGGGGAACAGGGCGAAAATCAGTATGGTACAGCTCAGCATTCAGCCAGGAGGCCAGAAGACCCAGGTTAGGGAGGGTGGCACTCATGCCTACTATCTGTATGCTGTCAAAAACAGGACTGTTCTCCTTTGTCTGTCTATAATTGGTTAAAAGAAAATGAAAGTTAATAGAACCCTAGGCCAGTGTTCTGGTGCAGAATACCAAATCCTATCCATCCAATCCAGGATCCCGATGCTCAAAGCAATACATTGAATACCTTGGAGCAGAAAAATTGATTACTCTCCTCTCAGCATACATAACTACAAATAGAAAAGGAGTACTTGTGGCACCTTAGAGACTAACAAATTTATTTGAGCAGAAGCTCTCGTGAGCTACAGCTCACTTCATCGGATGCATGCAGTAGAAAATACAGGGGGGAGATTTTATATACACAGAGAACATGAAACAATGGGCGTTACCATACACACTGTAACAAGAGCGATCAGGTAAGGTGAGCTATTAGCAGCAGGAGAGGGAAAAAGAAAAGTCTAAATCTGTGTAAAAACTAGGGCTAAATCACTCACCAAATGCATGGCCCATCCATAACTCTAACCACAGAATACAGGATTGATTTTTTTAAAAGCTTGTCTGCCACCATAGTGTACAATTTTTTAAAAATTATGTATTTCTTAATCCACCACTATGTATGCTCCTGCACATTCTACATGCCTTGCTGGGCATGCTGTTAATGTCCAACACATATACAAAGATGTAATTATTGTGGAGCATCTCAACACAAATTGAGTCCTGGAACTAAATAGATCATGTCTGGTCTGAATTACATTGAAAAAATTAAATCTCCATTACACACAATTTACTTTCTTAGAACATTCACAAAAGCAACAACTATTCAAAGCCTTACACTCCAGCTCAGGATGGCTTAACACTTAGAGTAATGAAGGGCTCACTGTCGTATTATGGCGTGTAGATGTTTTATGATTTAGTATAGAAGACACTTGTGATCATTGCTTTTTCATCTTTTCCATGTCAAATGGCAATATGCCTGTAAGTAGGTAAAATAACTCAGCAGAGAATAGCTGTAGTCAGCTAAGGCTTTTCTTTTGCATATAATGTTTATAATTAATCAAAAACAAACAAACATAAGAAAAAAGGAGTAATAAAATTTCCTCATTTTAGCATTCATTCCAATCCTACAACCCTAGGTGCAAACCTCTGCTCCAAGATATCCCCTTGTCTACCAAAGCCCAACGCAGGATGCCTGATCATATACTTCTTTCACACATATCAAAACATTGTTGACAGTGAGATCTATTAGGTTGTGAAAGTTAGCTTACTTTATATTTGAACTTAAAGCTTTATCCCAATTTCTTTTCCTCCCCCCCCAAAAAAAAAAGAATTTTACATCAACACACATTTAAAAACATGAGGAAAAAGGTTTTTGACTATAGTGATAGCCTCCTGATGTGGTGAGACCTTAATAACCGAGGGATCCTAGATCAGAGTTCTCACCAAATTCCTGGAGCCAATCCATATCTCCAAAATGAAAAGGAGTACTTGTGGCACATTAGAGACTAATAAATTTATTTGAGCATAAGCTTTCGTGAGCTACAGCTCACTTCACTGGATGCTGAAGCTGCTCAGGATTCAGTATTAAAAGACAGACACCCCCAGTCTACCCACCTTTTAGCAACTTTCTCTGTAACAAATCGAACTTTGGTCAGCAGGAGTTCCAGCAGATATCCTCGGTGAGAATCTCCCAGCATGTGCAACTCATCCACAACCACCATCCCTGGTGAAAAGAAGCACTGCAGATATTACACTCACCAAAGCTCAAAAGCAAGAACAAACCTCCATCACTCCATCAGCACCATATTCCATATGAATGGTTGAAATTTACAAAACTCCTGTGCATGCCAGTGACATTTCTGCAGCTTCCTGTCACTGTTTCTCTTCCGATATTAGTGCATGAAGCAGCAGATCAGTTTCATGACATTTTACCTCCAAACATTTTTTTGTTTAAAAAAAAAGAAAATTAAATTTGACAGTGTGTTTGGTGGAGTCTAGCTAGCAGAGTGCCCATCTTTCCAAATTACATCATCTTTCTAAACTCAACATCTCACCAAATTAAGGTTTCCCTGAGGGCTTGTGTACAGTTATTTCAGAATGGCTACTCTTCTTTAAATTCATACCCTACCTCAATCCAAATTAATTACAACATCTTTCTAAATTTCCAGACCTCACCAAACTTGAGAAAGTCTAGATGAAATGAACATTCCCACCTCACTTAGGCTAGGTTTATATTCAAGTTTGCCAGCAGAGTGACATAGGTTGTGGAGGTGATTTTTTTTACCAACATAGCAATGCTGGAAAAATCCCTAGCACAGACAGTTATACTGGTAAGTGTTTTTACTGGTATAGTTTGTTTTGCTCAAAGCAGAATAAGTTATACTGGTAAAAGCACCGGTAAAGCGCTCCTAGTGTACACATAGCTGAAGACCGAGAGAAAAGATGCCCCTCCGTCCCCCAAGCAACATAAAAACAAAAAGACAACTTAGCTCTGCCAGCTACTGAGGTCTGGTCTACACTATGAGATTAGGTCGAATTTAGCCGTGTTAGGTCGATTTTATAAGCAATGCATCTATACAACCAACCCCATTCCGCCGACCTAAAGGGCTCTTAAAATCAACTGCTGTACTCCTCCCCGGTAAGGGGAGTAGTGCTAAAAATCGACCTCTCTGGGTTGAATTTGGGGTACTAGAGACGCAGCACTGTGCAATTCGATGGTATTGGCCTCTGGGAGCTATCCCAGAGTGCTCCAATGTGACCACTCTGGACAGCATTTTCAACTCCAATGCACTAGCCAGGTACACAGGAAAAGCCCCGAGAACTTTTGAATTTCATTTCCTGTTTGGTCAGCGTGGCGAGCTCAGCAGCACAGGTGACCATGCAGTCCCAGAATCGCAAACGAGCTCCAGCATAGAGCGAACGGGAGAACCTTGTTCTGATTGCTATATGGGGAGAAGAATCTGTGCAGGCAGAACTCTGAACCAGCAGAAAAAATGCTGATATATATGCCAAAATCGCACAGGGCATGGTGGACAGCGACTACACCAGGGACACACAGCAGTGCTGCGTGAAAGTTAAGGAGCTCAGGCAAGCCTACCAAAAGGCAGAGGAGGCAAACGGTCGCCCTTGGTCAGAGCCCCAAACATGCCGCTTCTATGATCAGCTGCATGCCATTCGAAGGGTGGGACTCCACTACCCCACCACTGTCCGTGGACACCTGCAAGGGGGAAGTCCTCAAGCATCACGGAGGAGGATTTTGTGAATGAGGAAGAGGAGAATGTGCAGCAGGCAAGCAGAGAATTCATTCTCCCTGGCAGCCAGGACCTTTTCATCACCCTGGAGCCAATACCCTCCCAAGGTGTATTGTTCCCGGACCCTGAAGGAAGAGAAGGCACCTCTGGTGAGTGCACATTTGTAACTACACTACAGGGGTTAAAAGCAATTGTGTTTAATGTTTGATTTGCACTGAAGAATTAGGATGTATTCACAGCCAGTACAGCTACTGGAAAAGTCTGTTAACATGCCTGGGGATGGAGCGGGAATCCTCCAGGGACATCTCCAATAAGCTCTCCTGAAAGCCTTTGCAGAAGGTTTCAGGGGGCAGCGGGGCTGCCTTATTTTGTCCTCCACAGTAGGACAATTTACCACACCAATCCAGTAGCAAGTAGTCTGGAATCATTGCAGCACAAAGCATGGCAGCGAATGGTTCTGGGTTTTGGTCGCATCCATGCAACATTTGGTCTTTATCTTTCTGTGTCAGTCTCAGGAGAGTGATATCATTCATGGTCACCAGGTTGAAATAGGGGATTTTTTTGTAAGGGAACAGTAATCCCCTCTGTTTGGTGATCCCTGGCACATTAGACCCCGTTCATGCTGGGCTGTTTGCGCTTCGCTAAAAGGGATCAGCCAGAGAATAGCCACACATGGGGGAGGGGGGGGCGGAATTGCTGCTGCACATACATCCCAAAACCACAGCCCCTCCTTTTAAATGGCAAACCCAACCGGCGTTGCTTGCTATGGGAAAGAAGGGTGCTGCAGTTTGAAACCATTCCCATATGTTATGAACACAGAAAAAACCAAGTGTACCCTTTGGCTTACCATGGCTGCCTGGAAACCGAATTCTGTTGCCCAGCCGTGTGTGATGTGTCACCATATCAGCAGGCGCTCAATATAAAAGGCAAAATACGACCTTGTACCAAAAACACATGTGCTGTCTGCTGTGAATTGCTTGATTCACTGTGAAAGTCTCCCTTTTGGTCTCAGAAATGTATCATCTTAAATTTTACTTTCCCTTTTTATCCCCCCTGCAGGTTCAAAAGTTTCTATGCTCCCCGTATCAACTCTGTCCTTGAGGTTATCGGAGATTAGAAGGCGAAAAAAAACACACTCCCAATGACATGTTTTCAGAGCTCATTTAGTCCTCCCACACTGATAAGGGGCAGCTGAATGCATGGAGGCATGCAATGGCAGACACCAGGAAAGCATACAGTGAGGGTGATCAGAACACGCAGGAGGACATGCTGAGGCTAATGGGGAGCAAACGGACATGATGAGGTGTCTGGTGGAGCTGCAAGAAAGGCTACTAGAGCACAGACCCCAACTGCATCCATTGTATTACCGCCTGCCCTCCATGCAAAGTTCCATATCCTCCTCACCCAGATCCCCAAGAAGGTGGGGGGAGGCTCCGGGTACCCAGCCACTCCACTCCAGAGGAAGGCCTAAGCAACAGAAGGCTGTCATTCAAACAGTTTTGATTTGTAGTGTAGCTACAATAAGCAATGCAGTCTTGTCCTTCCCTCCTCCTCCATCCCACCCAGGCTACCTTTTACTAGTCAGCAT